GGAACGAAGTTACGGAAAATTAACTACCGAACGGAGACGTAACAATACCTTACCACCAGGGACTTTTCAACATCTCAAGATACTACATAACGTTAACAACGAGTGCATCTAACTCATAAGTTCATAAACTTGCCGCTGACCTTGAAGTGGACGATTTAGTAACAATAAATAATTTTAATGAATTTGTTAAACCAGCTTGTATTATTTTGAAACATTCTATTTATCATCTACATGGTTTGACTAACCTTTAAAAACTCTTAATAACAAACTATTGTAAAATCTTAAGAACAATTAGGTAGTACTTACTAATAAATTGTTTCATTTCATTAGCTACGTTATAAATATTTAATGTATAAATAAGCTTCTGTTTCTAAACACGTCTCGTCTTTACACACATTATAAACATCTCAAGCACTGCTTAAATCAAGTGTCTTTTCTCGTCCCACGTTTATATATATGCTGTAAAATTTCGTTCACTTGATTATTTTAACTTCACACGAACGCTATGCAGACGTTACCCGAATGAAAAGCATCTTGATAATGACTGAATGTTCTACCAAGAGTGAAAGGATGGGCGTTAGAATGATAATACATCAAATTTCGTTAATTTCTATTAGGAAATACAACGTTATTAAAACTTGTCATTTGTTTCACTGCCTCATTTTATTCCATTAAATACGATTAAATAATTGCATAGTTTTAAATTTGGGAGTAATAAAAGAAGTTATTATTTACTTTATGTACAGTGATGGTGATTACCTTATAACAAACACTGTTTGATAATGTGCATTAGTTAATTTTCTTAGTATGGAAAAAGAAGAAGTCTTATTTTTATTATTATCTTGTTTACTGAATAAACTTCGCGTTGAGCAACCGAAGATTTCGTAAGATCAGTTCTAGAAACAGAGCCATCTAGTGCCTTTATTATGAAATCATCGGAGGAGGAGCTTATGCCAGCTGATTTATATCTCGTACATAAATTGGTAACTACGGTAGTAAGTTCACGTAGTTCGTTTGGAGAGGAAGTGAACGTTTTATCGTAAGTTTTATGTTTTGAAAGTTATTTTCTTGACTAACAACTTTCATATAACTAGTGTTGATGGTTTTAAAATGATTAAAATTTACATGAGGTAATACTTGACTCATGAAAATTACAAATGTTATAGAAAGACCATTTTTAAATTCTAGTTGAGCTATTTCATGGCATTTGCAAATTATTTGACTATCATATGAGTGCGACTTGAGCTACTAGTAGTAGTAGTGGCAGCACTAGTGGTATAGCTGTAGAATTTCTCAATATTTATATTGCATGCACGTGGTTGTTGAGGTTAGTTGTTTACGATGAAATTAGTTTATTTTGTTTGGAGTCATATTTGTACACATGAGTTCTGCTTAAAGACCAGTTACTTGTAGAATCTTAAAATTGTTGCACTTGTTGACGTAATATTATTGCAGATACATTTTCTGGTTGTAGTAAACTGTAAAGTACAATTCTTAGTTTTATTTATAGCAAGTTCCAATAATATCACTAGTAATAAGTATGAGAAACATCATACATGAATTGTTTTTCAAGCAATAGGGTTGTCCTTTTACATTCGTGTATTTATCCAACAAAGATTTGAAATAATTTCACCTACTTGCACGTGCGACAGTACTATTGAAAAACTTTCACGAGGTTGTAACCAACAAATTTTTGTTTGTTTAAGAATAAATCTAGGCTTGGAAATCCAAGGCATGTACTTAAATTACGTTTCAATCCTATAATACCAATTTGTGGTAGAATATCGTGTAGTTTTGGCCTCCTCATCTGAGAAAGTATACCATCTTGTAGGAAGAGAAGGACTGTACTAAGTTAATTGTGTAATGGAAGGGCTATGTTATGGAGATAGGTTAAGAACTCTTAACCTTTCTCTTGAGAAAAGAAGGGTACCAGGTGATCTTATTAAAGTTTATAAGATTAATTGGGGGATTGATAAGATAAGGCCAATGATTTTTGTGTATTGAATTGCAAAGGCAGTAGAATATGAGTAAACAAGTACACGATATAAAATAAGACAGTTAAGTTGGATTTATCTTTCTAATCGGGAGATAGCTTATGGAATGAGTTTCCATCAGCAGTAGAAAAGGACAGCACTTTATAAGAATTTAAGAGTGTAATCCATGACTTCCTTAGAAATAATGAGTTTATTTTTTACCTTTCTAAGGGAGGGGTGTAGAGACTACCTTTGAGAACCAAATGGTCTTTTGTTGTCCATGTGTCATGTTGTCATTCAACCACTCAAATATACTACTCATGGGTAGTATTCCTAATTTAACAATTTTAAAATTCTGGATCAAGGAATAACTTTTTTTTTCCCCTGTGAAAATGAGCAACACTCCCCCCTTTTTTGGGGGGGGGGGTAACTAAACATTCATTTGTAATGGTCAACTATTTCCAATTTACATTTTGGACATGACCATTAGTGTAATCAATAATAAGTGTGATTGTACATGCTGGACTTTTATTTTGACATATAAACCATTGTTGCATATAGTAATTCATAACAATTTGCACTTGTCAGGCTTTAATTTTGATGTTGGTATTGTTGAATATAGTAATCTGCAAGTTTTACTGATTTATGTATGTATAGTTGGGTATTTTCAAGTTCCAAGTCTAGCCAAAAGTTTTGAAATCATATTTTTGACATTGTATTAATAATAGTACTTTATTCAACACTTTTGGTAAAGTTATAGTTGTTATAGAAAAATAATTTGCACCTTTCTATTCTTATAGTTATTGTACAATTAAATTAATCATCTGAGGATTGAAATTGCTTAGCCTCAAAATAATGCATGTACTGTAAAATAGAATTGTTTTTAAAATTGTCTGCTTTACAACAACAAAATTAAATGATGTGTTAAATATGTTGCTGCACTGACGATTAATAATAAAGAATTGAGCTTGAATTGGACTCAAAATATGTCTTGAAGTCACATAACTTGTTACTAAATATTATACTTCTCAAACTTAAAAAAAAAAAAAAACCCAATTATCTTGGCAATACTTTCTTCCTTGGTTATCTGCAAAAATAAGAGTGAGGAAGATGAATTGTGCCAAAGCAATATTTAGCACTGATGTTATGAAGAGAATGTGGCAGATCCAGTAATTGTAAATTAATACTTATCCAATAAATGCTTTTGATATGGTTGTGAACCTTAGATGAAAAAATAAATAGTTAGATCCAGTAAAAAATTTTTTTTTTCCTGCTGGATAAATGGGTGAGAGGAACTTTTTCATTTTACATAAAGATGTTATCCAATGTCACTTGAATGTTTAAGATCTCTACTTGGTGTAACTAATGACAGTACTACTTTTTATTATTATTATTCAGATTTAGTAATGAGTGAAAAAAAATTAATTTCAGGTGCTACATTCTATTATCCTGTATATTTAATAATCAAACTTTCGTCATACAAATGTCAAATCTTAATATTATGTGGGGAAAAAATTTAACATTACTCTTTTTATAATATTGTATACATCTAGTTAGACTAGTAAAATAAATTTGCTGCATTTTATACAAAGTTAAGTTTACAACATAAGATGTAAAAATTGTTGTGGTCAGAAGTTGTTGAAAAATACTTATTGGTAAATGCTATATCATGGTTCTGTTATTGGAAAAGACTTGTAATAAAGTTAGTGAATGATTAAAAGAATCTCGAGCATCTACACCAAGTAGTCTGTCATCAAAGTTTACATGCTCTCCATTAAGTTATAACATCAGGTGACATTTTACTGACTTAATTTCAATCAAAATGCTAAGCAGTTAAACAAATTGAAATGTAATGTTAAGAGAGAATCCACACCTGTGTGTGTGTGTGTGTGTACCCTTGATTAACTGTTGAAGAATATTAGAAAAATTAAATCGGTCAGTATTTTCAATCTTTTAGACTTAGCAGTAAAAGAATTATTGAACAGTTTCTTTTTCTCATTCAGTATCTCCTAGTTATCAATATATTGAGTCATTCTGCATCCAACACTCGTGAATCTTAAAATATTTCGTGTATTTGCTAATAATGAATCTTGAACAATTTTTTTTTACTTTAGACCAAGTTCTGTTGTTACCAGTGTACCAAATTTTATCAATATAGAATAACTTATTAGCAGAAATAAACTAATTAAATAAATCTGAATTTAAAAAGTAACTTAAGTTAATGAATCACATTGTATATAACAAAGTGACAAGAAATTTGATGTCATAAATTGATATACAAGACAACTAACACTTGTAATGATTAGAATACATTGAATCATTAACTAGGCTCCCTTGCTATTAGTAACATTTTCAGATCTCACTAGAGCTAGGCAACTATAGGAACTTCATAATCAATTGATTATCATGTTCATTAGTTGATTACAATGAAATGGCATTATTCTCGCATGAGGCTTGGATAGTTGGAATGTTTGAAAAATAAGTAATAATAATTGGACATACTAATTTTAATTATTTTTTTGTGAGTTGGACATAAAATGATTAAGCTCACAACCTTGAATTAATGAAATGATAAATTGTAAGGACAATATTTTGGAATAATTAAAAACGGTAATAATTGGAAACATCAATTTACATTATTTGATCTTTTTTGTGGCATTAATACACTGAATCATAATATCAATTATTTTGGAAAACCTTAATGATTAATAAAGTTAATTGCTCAGCTCTAAATTTCTGCAGAATTGGGCCAATTTAGGAAATTTAGGGTAGTAATGGTAATAATCAAAAAGTTCTTAAACATTATAATTAGTAAGTCAGAAAAAAAAGTTTAATATAATCAACAGTTTCATTAATATTAAGTAGTTATGTATGCCCATAGTATAATTAGTAATTCGGAGAGATTTTATTGGTTAAATATTTTTCTCGTATATTTCTTTTAGAAAATGCCATCATGTCGGACTGTTTGTCTATGGATCAGACTCGGATATCAGTGCTTGCCCTAAAAATGTTTGTTCCCCTCTGTTCAAGAGATGCAAGAATAAGAGGCCAAGCTTTGGAGTTCCTAGATTGTGGTTTCAAGTCTTGGAGCAATGGAAGACCCCCTGTTCATGTGACTTCAAAATTTCACTTAAAGCATGGAGACCCTGAGGATGAAAAAATGCTTTCAGCTCTGACTCTGAAGGACTGTCTACCATTTTTGCTCATGCTAGCCTATCAGTGTCCATTTAATGATGTGAGAGAGAAGTTGTTTGGAATACTGCATATGCTAAGGGTAAGTTTAAGCATATTGTACAGGATTCATGGTGGATTTTTTGTGAATGCTTCTGTTACGTGCATATCAGTTATTTATAAGAATAAATACTTCTTTAATGGAAAAACGTAGCTAAGTAATATTTGTAACTACTGGCATACTAAAGAACCATACTGTTATAGCCTGTTTTTTTACATTTTAATTTCAAACATTTTGTATTGTGTGTTCTGGATTACTTTGGCATGACGAAGTGATGATGTTTGATGTCTAGACTTGATGTGACGGCTCAAATTTTTTAGACTTGTTGGGGAAAAAATTATATTATAAAACCTCATGGGAGTTAGTTAATCATATGATTGACTTGTTTGTTAGTAAGCCTGTTAGTGTTGTCAGTTAATCACTGAGTTAGTTAAGTGCTTTACATTTTTGAGTTAGGACAGGAAATTTGATAAGTCAGAGATTGTAAAGTTTTATTTGTGAGTGAGTCTATTGGTTGATTATCATTATTTTATGAAACTTTTTTTTTAAGTTGTAAAACTATGAGAGTTAAGAAATAAAATACTAGACTTTGCATTATTTTGACCAAATAATAACCTGCCCAACAATAGAAACAATTACAACACTGATATGAAGAGTGAAATTACCTTGGTAAAAAATATAATCAAGAATGGACTTCAAAATGATGACACATGCTTAAAGTGGGATAGAAAATTTAATGGAACTGATGAAACAGTGGAAAGAAGAATTAATGAAAGTAGAAGAACAAGATAGAAAATTAAAAGATCAAGAAGAAAGCAATGGGGAATTTAAGGAGTTAAAAGAAAGACACAATATTTTAGGAATTAAGAACAACAGTAATTTGATTTTGTAATGGAACTTATGACAGCAGTGGGCTCCAAAAACAAATCTCAAGCCAAGTCTAGAACAACAGAAATAATGCCTTCATCCATAAAATGAAAGTAATGGTTACAAAATAAATATTCTTACTCAAAATGTTATTGCATTGAAGTTGAGCAATTGTTTGGTACTATTAACAAGGTATTAAACAAGGATTTCATACTGTAAAGGCTCATCAGCCAGGAGTTGACACGTTTCCAGCCACACCTTGAAGTCAGTGGCTGTTTTAACGAGTACTGTGGTTGACAAACTGAAATTGCAGCAATCCTATTCAAACGCATACCTCTTGAGTCCATCAATGCAGCTCCATTGGAATTTTCTTTAACTTTTGTTCTCGTTAAACACTTTTATTTTATTTTTAAGACCACATTTATTGCGCAGAGAAAGATCAGTTGAAAGTTAAGATGTGCAGTCTCAAATTGACTTTGCTGTCCTTTACAGAAGCTTGCTACAGTAAGAAATGTGAGTTTTGAGCAATAGTGCATAATCATGGCTAGTGTATTGAATATGAACAACAATGAAGAAGGTAGTTCCATAGGCATCATGTGACCTGAAAATCATTTTTTATGAAGTGCAATTAACCAAACTTGTTCTTATTTTCTTGCATATTTATTTTTTCAATATATCAGGCAAATGCATTTTATGAAGGTTCATAGGGCTTTGCATGTTTTACTTTAAATTGTCTATTTTTAGGCAGAAACTTTTCCCTGTTACATTGAAAATATTTGTTTATTTTATTATAATTTATAGCCAGTGCCAGTTAGAATAATTTTTTGAGGTTATACAAAATTAAGGGAAACTGTATAACATAATGTTCATGATATCAGAAAACACTTGGGTTCAAGAAGTCTTAATATAATGATAAATACCTTGTAACCTTATGGCTTTCAGAAGGTGGACCTTTTTTTTTTCTTCAGTGGGCAAACATAATATATAGGGACAAGGAGGGACCTATTGATTTATCTTGACTGTCCCACTCCCTAAACTAAAACTATTAAATAAATAATCTTAGACAGCCATTATCATTCGTATAGTTATCAAGATTTCTCTTAAACACTCTCAAACTTACTGACTTTCCTTAAGAAAAACAATGTGTGTATGAATGTGTGCATGTATTATACATTTTGGTTTATTCAAATGTTGGTATATACTTTTTTGTTATTGTTTTTATAATAAATACCTTTTTAACAATAGGTTAGTTATGCATGACCTGGATAATTCATTTTGAATTTGAATTCTGAAGTTTTTAAGTTTGGTAAGTTTGAGAGAGGGAGAGAAACTGGTGCTGGAAGTTACTTTATTTGTTTGCCAGGAACGTGCTGAAACTAAGTAATTGAGCTCAAATGCTGCAAGTCTTGGTCGTTACTTCATTTTATTTTGATGGAAATTGGAGAGATGTTTAAGCTATGCCAATTGGCCTTTAGAAAAAAGTCCAAAATCCATTTGCTTAACAATTTTTTTTTCATTTTGTTGCTTTGTTTTTGGACAAGTTGAATATTTCCAAATGCATACTAACAGATGGTTTTATATTAGCTTTGTATGAAAGAATGTGTAATTTGAGATTCATATTAAAACCATGTGTAAGAACACACATGCACGCACACAGAGAGAGACAGACAGACACAGCAAGCAACTAATTTCAGGAAAATTTGTGACAAACTATGACTAACATAGTCAGCAGCCTCGAAATGTATGATTCATTGTGATAAAGATGACATGAAAAAAATTTTGTGTTACTTGCACTTAAGGGGCTGATAGTTGAACAATAAGTTAAGATCGGTAAACAATTCTGTTTTTCACATACTGTTAAGGTCAAAGGTCATAAATAGACAACACGTGATGTTCCAAGTCTGACCTATGTATTTACTAGTCATGGTTGGAGCAATTGTTGTCAAGAAACAGAACATGAGGTAGTAGGAGGCCCTTAATATCATGAAGGTCACATCCAAAACATCTGTATTTTGCTGCTTCAAACTATCTGCATTAGGTAAATGCCTAATTTTGATAAATTGATTATTTTAATGATAATTAATCACTTTGATCATAATTTTGATTAATCTCTTATTCTTCATGAAAATAATTGATGTAATCAATGCTCTTAGGTAATCTATTGATAGTTAATTGCCCAGCTCTACTCTACCACCTATTTTAAGCTATGCTGACTTGTTGAAATATTTTGGGTGGGCTTAGCTTCATCTAGGGAGGAGCATTAAGAAAAGTGTTTCACCACTTCCTAAACACACAAACATCACTTAGGTGTAACCTTGCTTGATATAAGTGATTTCTGTTGTGAAGAATATTCTAACTTAGTTTTAAAATGCAGTATACCATGTATTGATGTTTTTTGTTGTTTTTTAACTTTTTTATGTGAAACTATAGAAAAACTTGTGATGAAATTAAATATTTAATGGGGGGGGGGGAGAGCTGAGCTTATCCATTTAAAATATTGGGTAGTCTCAATACTTAAGAGGCAAGTTATGATGAACTTTATGCATTCCATTTTAAAATCTCTTGTTATTACAGGGATTTGGAAATTTAGAATTTTTTCATTCTCAAAGAATGATAGGTTTTAAAAATCATTATAGGCCTGGTATGCAGTCACTTATAAAGGCAGCTATTTAAATGTGCCATTAATCTGCTGTAGTGTTATGTAGCTATTAAGAATTAGTGCGAGTTGAATTGTAGGATTGAAGCTAATAAAGACGAGATGTGAACTTTCCAATGTATGTAATATCTCCTGCAGATTTGTTAGGATGCTAAATGTAGGTGTGTGTGTCTCTACAATTATAAATAATTAGTACGGTTGAAAAACGGAGTTAAAAAATATCCAAATAAAAGCTCTAGTATGATTGTTTTGATTTTTGTGAATTTTCTTTATTCTAAATTTGGTATTGCAGATCACTTTCTTATTTGTTAGTGTGTGGTGTACTAAAGTTGCTTAGTTACCTGATTACTTCTAACTTTCGTTTTGTCCACCTCTGAAACATTTCCTAAATGATGCAAGTTATTCTATAAATACTTTTTTGTTAACGTTTGATTTGTTGTATTCTGAAGATTGGAGATTATTCAGCAAAAATGTTTAGGTGTAAAAGCTTTTTAAGGTAGGTCACGTGCTTCTCAGTAATAAGCATTTGTCACCTTGTATATGGACCCAGCCACTGTAATTAGCTATAACTTAAGATGTATCATGTATGTATATTCAATAAACAAAGTTTATTCAGTAAAAGAACTTGAATTTTACACGTTCATCTGGTAACCTTACTTGCTTCTTGTTTATAATGTATGACCTGGCGAAGATGCATGCAAATATTGAAACTTGTCTTGGAACAAACTCTCTAGACAGGCTGACCATATCAACAAACCCTAACAATTATCTATTTGTTCAGGAGTGGCGCCAGCCTCATCCCGGTGAAGGAGTTTAGATGGACTAGACCAGTATCTCTCAACCTTTTTCGCAGCAGCGCCCCCTTCAGCAAACAATGAGCGTTCATGCCCTACTCTATATAATTAGATTGACCATTAAAATATCTTATTAAAATCAAAATTTTAAGGTAAAAATAGTCTATGGTTTAATTTTAACAAATAACTTTGAAACCCTCAACTTTTTTTGTCCGCCCTTCAAAGTTTACTCGCCACCACCTCCCTGAATTTTAAAAACTCCCAACCTGGGCGGTACCCAGGTTGAGAAACATTGGACTGAAAAAAAAAAAAAAAAAAAAATAGAAAAAAAACTGAGGAGGCTGCGCTCTACATCTTGTGGGTACACAACTATACTTTATTATTTAGAAAGCGAACCAGCGTTAACAGTAACCACTTGTATCTACGTTGCCCACTAGTTTAACAACAACAACAAAAAAAAAAAACACTTGCACAATGTATTGGGTACGGGGGATACAAGGGAGGCTAAAACACATTTTGGGGTAATTTCAGCCCCTGCAAGCTTCCACCCCTGTACTTCCCAAACTTGTCTTTCTGACAAGTGACATGACGTTAGTAGATCAAAGTAACAAAAAATATTAATTTAAAGAACTGGAATTTCATAATATTTGGTTACACTTCATTTCATTACTATAAGATGCACCATAACTAAATGTACAATATGCAGACCGAGATTAAGTTCGACG